CACACACACACACACACACAGGGCAAGACACCAGAACAGTGTTTCTCAACCTTGGCAACTTAAAGATGTCCGGCCTTCACCCCCCAGACTTCCCCAGCCAGCATCCGCTGGCTGGGGAATTCTGGGAGTTGAAGTCCGGACATCTTCAAGTTGCCAAGGTTGAGAAACACTGCACTAAATTGAGGCTAACTCACAGCATGGCTATCATTTCCCTAAACAAGGACCTCAAATTACTCCAATAATTGCTGAAGGGGACAATGATTTGGAATTGGCCAGGTCAGAAGTGTATCATTATGAAAATGGTAACTCAGTTTGGAGTAAGGAGTATAAGGCCTATTTTTTTTTTAAAGAAGAATTCTGATCTTCAATTGTTCCTTTTTTCAGGCAGCACCAGCAGGGCTACCTTCCCATCCTCCCAAGCTTATCAGGGGGCAAAATTGTGGGCAACAGAGCCAGGGATGGATGTTGCAAGGCAGCCTTCCACCCAGGGAGTAGTGAAGCCATGTAGTTCCTTGAATTTGAACTTGAATTTGTTTGCCGCCAACTAATAGTTGCTTGAGATTTAATGCAAGCATTTCTCTATTGGTTAACCTTCCAGCTTTACCTCACATGGTCACATCTCCCCATACTTAAACTATCTGGTTGTTTCTTCCTACACAACTCTTCAAGATGGTCTTTACATCACTGTAGTGAATGAGGCCATGGTTCATCTAGAGCCCACTGAATTGAAGGATTGAAGGCAGTGGAGAAATATTCAGTAATGATGGCCTTTTAAGACCCCAGTATTAAAAGTCTTACTATTTTATTCCAGATGCTAAAATCAAGCCTGGCTCGTCTTATTATACAAGGAACAGAGGAAAGATCATCTACTTACTTATATTCTTTTTTGTGAATAAAGGGAAATATACGAGGTTGCAAGCTGGAAGAGAAGCTGTGTTATTAATGCTCGTGTTTTTCTGCATGTTTAGGTGAAAAGATGAAGGAAGAAGAAGTAGAAGAACTGATGAAAGGGCAGGAAGACTCCAATGGCTGCATCAACTATGAAGGTAAGGGTAACTAGGCAGAAGATAGATGGATGTGTTTGGAAAAGGCCAGCGAGGCTTCCTGAAGAAATATTTAATTGTTTTCTGCTTTCAAAAAATGCCCTTCCCAAAGTTGTCATGATGTGTTCTATTAGGGCCAGGAGAAACAGATAGTAAAATACACTCAGTGGCTAATCTGTGTGTATTGATTTTGATTGATTGATTTGATTTGATTTGTCTTGTATGCCGCCCACTCCCGAAGGACTCCGGGCGGCTCACAATACAACAAATATAAAGAAGAATAACAATTATGTGAATGTATACTTAAAATGGTATGTAAGATAATAGC